GTAGTAGTAGTAGTAGTAGTAGTAACAGTACTTGTGCTTGTACTAGTAGTAGTAGTAGTAGTAGTAGTAGTAGTAGTAGTAGTAGTAGTAGTAGTAGGAGTAGTAGTAGTCCTAGACAGGGGAACAACAAGTGACATAAACATAACACAACTCGGAGGTCCGCGCGGATTTCTCGGATCGGCGCTGGACCCCCCTCCCTGGCGCGCGGAGCGCGCCAGGGGCTGCGCCGATCTGAGAAATCCGCGCGGACCTCCGAGTTTTTATGTTTATGCCACTTTCTCTTCCCCTATCCTCCCCAGGCGTCAACTACAGGAAGGGGGGCCCCAGCGCCGATCCGAGATATCCGCGCGGACCTCCGAGTTTTTATGTTTGTGTCACCTTTTTTTGTTCCCCTGGACGAGAAGAAGTCGGGGGTAGGGAGCTCCCGAACGAAGCGAGCCCCGCCCTCCCCCTCAGAAATCGTGGGGGGTTAGGGATAGGGTTCGCATGTGGTCCCCTATGGTCGGGCCGGGCGAAAGGGGGGGATTGGGAAAGGGAGGGTTACGAAATTTGTTGCATGCAGCTGGTTTCGGCCTCACCGAGGGGCCCATTCCTCGATACATAGCCGCCTCCGGCGCAGGTAGGCGCCGGGAAAATCAGCTACGTGAGCTGATTCTCCCCCCCCCCCCCCTTTGCTATCCTCCGCTTTCGCCCGACCCGAAATGGGGAGGAGAAGAAGTCGGTGGGCGACGTCTTCGAGCTGCCCCTGGACCGCGTGTTCTTCACCCACGACCACATCAGCCGGCGGTCCAGCAGCGCTCCGCGCCGCGGCCTCTCCGGGCCGAGGCCGCAGAGGCCCCCCCCCCCTCCATGGCGTGGGCCACGGGCCCCCCGCGGCTCGTCCTCGCGAGGGCATCCCGCCAGGGGAGGCCCGCAGACGGGGGGGGGCTGTTGATAGACCTCCTACCCTGACACGTCGATTAAGGAATTGGCCGTTTGCGGTTCGCGAGGGGGCGTCGCGGCCGTCATTTCTGCGGGTCCAGGTCCGTCGGTTTCGGTCCCGGGCCGTTTTCTCTAAGGGGAGGTTTACTAAAGGGAGGTCTGTCCACCGCCGAGCAAGTCAAAAGTCGCATGGTAAGGGTGAGCAACTTTCCAAGACTGCCCTTTTGCGTCCCTGCCCCTCCGTCCCGGGCGGCTTTTTCGCCAGCCAGCCCCCTTCGGCAGCGCCAACGTGGCCTTCCAAGGCCCTTGGCATCCTTGCCGCGCATCGCTTGTGTGCGACCTGACTGCATGCGTGTGCGCGTCATTCGTTGGAGCGAGGTCTACGTGGCTGGTGCTGTGGCAACCGGCGCGACGTCTACGCACGGGGCGGCCGAGCCGCTCGGCGCCCCGTCGGTGAGCTCTGCCCAGGCTCGCACGCCCACGGACTCGGGCCTGGAGTGTATCGTGCAGCCCAGGCTCTCTCGGGCCACGTGAACCGAGCCTGGGTGCCAGTCCGGCGGCGCCATTTGGGGGGGGGGCGCGATCGACTCAGACCTCACGGCAGCAGGGTTGCTGGGCCCCCTGACCCCTCGAGGCTCGCAGAGACTTCTGCGAGGCGCCGCGCCACTCGGCGAACAGCAGCAGCAGCAGCAGCAGCAGCAGCAGCAGCAGCAGCAGCAGCAGCAGCAGCAGCAGCAGCAGCAGCGTGCGCACACGACTCCTCGGAGGCCCCCGCGCGGGCTTCTCTTGCATCGGCGCTGGGCCCCCCTGCCTTCGCCGGGGGAGAGGGGGGGGTCCCGGGCGCCGATCCGGGAGCTCCGCGCGGACCTCGGGGAGATCATGCCTGGCATCGCTCGGACGCGTGCGTTTTTATAAAATTTGATATCCTCGGCGAGGACCATCGAGGAGCGTCCTTGACCATCTACCGACGAAAACCACGCACGAAACCAAACAAAAACACGGGGAATGGACGTCCGAGCGATGGCGAGCATGTGCATGCCGCTTTTTGTGCCTCTGCCTGGGCAGCTCCTTCGCCACCGCCCTCAGCTCGGGGGCGGAAAAGAGGGGGGTGATGACTAGGGGGGGGGGTGGATATCGTGGCGTGGGCCATGATATTTCCCCAGATTTCATGGCGCCCCTTCTTATTTCATGACGTCCCTGGCCCCCCGCTGGGCCGCGCACATGCCGCTCTTGGCCGCTCCCCCTCTTGGCCGCTCCCGCTGCTCTGCACCCCGCCCCTCCGGCCCGCAGCCGGGCTCGGCGGGCCGGCGGGATTCTCTGCCGAGAGGGAAGCCGGCAACGCTCCCGCTGCGCTGGCGTACGGGTCGTACCTCTCGGCCCAGCTCCTCTCTCCCCTTGGCTCGGGCCCCCGTGTCTTCTTTGGCTTCTTCGGCGTTTGGTCCCTCCCCCTTCCCCTTTCCCCCCCTCTCCGCTCCCCCTTCTTCTCGCCCCTTCCGTGTCCTTCCCTAGCCCTTGTGCTTCCCTGCGCTTGTGCGTTGTGTGCTCCCCCTTGTGGGCAAGATTTGTATCCATATCCACTGCGTCCTGGAGTCTCTGGGAAGGGGCTTTTTGGGAGGGGAGCCCGAGACTCAAAGACGCAGTGGGTATGGATACACATCTTGCTCGCACCCCTCTCTCCCTGCTTGGTCCCTCGAGGCTCGCAGATACCCCCCGCGGAGCTCCGCTTGGCGGCCTTCGCCGCTGCCGTCGGCTTTTGGTTTGGCGTTTGGTCCTCCCCCTTCCCCTCCCCACCCCCCCTCTCCCCCCGCCCCTCTCCTCTCCCCTTCCGTGCCCTCCCCTCGCCCTTGTGCGTTGCGTGCTCCCCCCCCCCCTCTCTCACTGCTTGGCCCCCCGAGGCTCGCAGATGCCCCCCCGCGGAGCTCCCGCTCGGCGGCCTTCGCGGAGCTGCCGTCGGGCGCGCTCGCCGCTCTGCACACCGAAGCCCCCCGCGGCTGCCCCGGAGATCGGAGAGCCCCGGCGGGGGGTCGGCGGATTCTCGGACGGCCGGACCTTCGAGGACCTGATCCGAGACCTGCAGAGCGGCAAGGCAGGAAGATCGCGGGGAGGAGGAGGAGGAGGAGGAGGAGGAGGAGGAGGAGGAGGAGGAGGAGGAGGAGGAGGAGGAGGAGGAGGAGGAGGAGGAGGAGGAGGACCAGCGTAAACCCAAGACCAAGCAACGCTGCTGCAACAAACCCTCCCTCCAAGTAGGCTCCTATCAGGATGTCTTCACATTGCGGGAAGAGCCCCGTTGGAAGACAACCTTCCGAAATGCCTGAAACGCACCAACACACACTTCCTGGGACTTCAACACCGCAAATCAACGTGATTGTAGCGTCCTGGGTCTTAAACTGCGCCAGCACGCAATTGCCGTGGGCGTCATCGGTAGTAATCTTTGAAACTGCTGTACACTGTTAAGACGAATGTGCGCGGCGCTAAGGCGAGAACCTTACTTTGAAAGCCACCCGCCCTCCATATGTGAAGCTCTTGTCACATTTTAAGACGAATGTGCGCGGCGCTGAGGCGAGAGCCACACTTTGAAAACTACCTGCGGCATGGAGGCGTTCTCTATGGAGAGAGGGATGGAGGAGGAGGAGGAGGAGGAGGAGGAGGAGGAGGAGGAGGAGGAGGAGGAGGAGGAGGAGGAGTTCGGGTGAGGCATTCATGCAGCAGGCGCGGACGGGAGGGCGGCCGGTGCTCGGGCATCACGGCGGGGGGGAGGGGGGGCGGAGGCGCAGCGCCAGAGGGGGGCGGGGATGTTGGTGCGGTGAACGCCGCTGCTGGAGCTGCTGAGGACGAGGCGGATGGCGTGCAGGTAGGGCGACGAGATTTATACATACAGTCGGGGCCCTGAAGAAGGAACCCTTTTCGTTGGGGAGGGGCTCCGCGTTCCTTAAGTGTTTCGCAGCTTGCTTCAGGTTTTCCTTATATTTTCGATCGGAAATCGAAGTTTAACTTATGGAAAAAAGGGGCCTCGTTCCTTATTTTGGGTTCCTTAGGTCAAGGCCCCAACTGTACACTTCGGGTGATAAGGAGGTGGGGGGGATGGGGAAAGAACCAACTGGTGGCAACTGTGATGGGTGTGATGGTGGCGATGTTTGTGGCGCGGCCTCGAGTGGGCGACGACGCGCGATGACGATGTTGCGCCGCGACGTGATATCACTATCGACCCCGCTATCGATCTCACTCGATTGATCTCACTGTCGACCTCATGGCCAGTTTCAGTATCGATGGTTCCAGCGATCGATCCCATCAACGATCGATCACATTAGCGACCGATCCCAGCGACATCACTATCAATCCAACTATCGATCTCACTACCGATCTGACCCTATATCGGTAGTTATCGATATCACTATCGATCGGGGCACCATCGGGACACCACGGTGGGACACTGCGGGACACAGCGAGACACCACTGGACACCACGGGACACCGCGGGACACCACTGGGACACCGCGGGACACCACGGGACACCACGGGACACCACGGGGCACCACGAGACACCATCGGGACACCGCGGGGGGACACCGTGGGACACCATCGGGACAACGCGGGACACCATGGCGGGACACCCCCAGCCACCGCGCGCCCACCGGAGGGCCGGACTTTTGCATCCGAATCGCCCTAGCGACGGCGGGATCAATGCTCTCGCGCGCCCACGCAGCTTCGCCTCGCCCGCACGCACGACGCGCACACGAAACTACAGCCGATTTCCCGGCGGGCGGCTCTTCGTTCCACTGCGGCTTCACCCCCTCCCCCAACCTCCGATGGATAGCCATTGCCCAAGGCCTGGCCCACACTGGGCCCGAGAGCTGTGTAGCTGCCTCCCTGGCCAAGCCAGGAGGGCGTATATTCACCGCTCCTGTGCCCAAGATGTGCCAGGCCTGTGGCAGTGGATGTGTATGATAGGTCTCCTCACCCTAGCAGGGCGAGGCGGAGGACCCGTGCGCTATGGTGCTTCATTACCAGCCTCGAACGTATCCCCATCCCTAAGTTTGACACGCCAGAAGGCGATGACAAGCTTAGGGATTCGCCATCAAAAAATAAGGGAATCCCTAAGATTGGCATCGTGATGAGGAGGTGCCCAGCATAGGGATAGGGATATGTTCCAGGCTGGTAACTTCAGCTCTGCGATTTGCCCGCTGAGAAGCCGCGCGAGCACCTGGGAGGCCAGGACTGTCGAGCCGAAGAGTTTCGGCGCCGTGGCACGCCGCAGTCCGCCAGTTCGGTAGTCCTTGCCTCCCTGGGGCCTCGTGGTGACTAGGGGGAGCCAGTCGCTGAACTGAGGCAGCACATGGTCCGCAGAAAAGGGGGGAGAAGCGCGAGGGCAGTGACGAGGAGGAAGGAGGTGGGACGAGGGCGGCGGGAGAGAAGCGAGGAGTGGGTATCTGTGGATCTGCAAGCATCGATCCAATTCTATTCAGCAGTGGGCTCTGCTGCTCGATGTCCTACTTCGTCTTGCTCGTGCGAGTCATGCCTTGCTGTGCACCCCATGTACCCCGTGCGAGTTTTTCTCATCTTGTGATGGTGGATGGCGTTGTTCGGTATGGGGTACTGGCGCTCAGACTTTGAAACCGACTACGACGACTCTGACGCTTATGATGTTCCGACCTACCTTAGCCTAGATGGCCAGAAATAATTTCGAGCACCAGGAAAGTACCGAAACTTGAGGCGATTGTCGTTCGACACTTCGCTAGCGTGTCGGGCAGACACTGCTTCGATACCTCTCTGGGTACTCGATAGTATTTCTGGGATGTTGTCCTTAAGTGCGATGGGAACAACATAAACCGACGCCGACGGAAGACGCCGACGGCGACGGAAGGCGACGATGCAGACGACGACGACGACAACGACGACGACGCCGAGGAAGACGCCGACGCCGTCGTGAAATGACGACGACGACGACGAAGACGACGACGACGAACAACCCCACACCCACAGGGTGAGTGGATGACATTGGCACCACCCACCGCGCTACGCCCAAGGGCCAAGACCACATGAGGGGGGGGAGCGATCCCATTCGCGAGGCCTTCGCAAGGCTCACAGGCGTAGGTAGTGGAGGAGGCTCGATCCCATATGCAATGGGGGGAGGATCATACACCTATATGTAAATATTCACACATATTGATTAATACTTTGACCGCATCCACAGCCGAGCCCGGCATGGTACCCTGATCGTGCGAAGGTCTTATATTTGGCGATGAGGGAGTCTTGTGGCGTGGGGTAGTCGGAGGAGTAAGCCCATCCCTAGAGGGGAAATCTTGGAATACTGCGAACGTCAACTCACCCACGCTCAGAGTTCTGTCGGGATTCGGGCGACGCGTGTGTTAGGAGTGCTCCCTGAAATTCGTATTCTGGCTGCCCGCTCTCTTCTGCTCCTTCGGCTCCTCACTGGCCGCCAGCCCCCCCCCCGCCCCCGGAGGTGCACCCCAAGCGGGACAACTTCCTCGTGCTCGACGTCGCCTACGCGGAGGCGGCGCTCCCTCCGCGCTGTGGTCGCTGTCTCCGCTCAGCCCTGCCCCGCCTCGGAGCAGAGCAGCTACACAGATCCAACTCCATCCTCCTCCTCTCCTCCTCCTCCTCCTCCTCCTCCTCCTCCTCCTCCTCCTCCTCCCCTGCCAGAGAGGAGGACATCAATCTCATCATCATCATCGGAGGAGGAGGAGGAACAGGAGGAGGAGGTGGAGGAGGAAGTATTGCCATGGCCCATCAGATTCTCTCGAGCATGTCTGGTCCTGTCCGTCTTTTCTCGCTCTTCTTTCCTCGGTCCTCGTCGAGTTCTCCTGTCCTCCTCTCCCCGCTTCCCCCATCTCCCGTCTTGGTCTTGCTAATCCATCGCCAGAATCTCTTCTTGTGCCCGCAGCTGCAACGCTGCTTTATCATCTGATCAGGAGCATCAACAATGGTGCTCCAGTCAGGCCTGAGCGCGCTGCACAGGCTGTTCCTACAGTAAGGTGGCAAGTGCGCCGCATGTGGCGCCGCTGAACGTGAACTCGCGTGTCCGCCTCGGCCACGCGCGAGGAGGTGGAGGAGGAAAACAAATAATAATATTAATATTCAGACAAATAATAGTAACATTAATAATGGTAATAAGTATCCCAGTGCGACCCTACCTAGGAGTCGGAGCCTCTAGGAAAGCAGCATTAGTAGGAGCGGTAAACGCCGTCCTCCTCCTTCTCTTCATCGTCGTAGTTGTAGCAGTAGTAGTAGTAGTAGTAGTAGTAGTAGTAGTAGTAGTAGTAGTAGTAGTAGTAGTAGCAGTAGCAGCAGCAGCAGTAGTAGTAGTAGTAGTAGTAGTAGTAGTAGTAGTACTACTAGTAGTAGTACTAGTAGTAGTAGTAGTAGTAGTAGTAGTAGTAGTAGTAGTAGTAGTAGTAGTAGTAGTAGTAGTAGTAGTAGTAGTAGTAGTAGTAGTAGTAGTAGTAGTAGTAGTAGTAGTAGTAGCGCCAGAACCGCCGACGCCACGCCGTAAGTGAAGCAGCAGCAGAAGCAGGCAGCAAGTCGCCGAGACAGCAGCAAAAGCAAGCAGGCACGGAGATGAGGGCGGGGCACTGGGGAGTTCTTCACATCTACATCTATATCTACACCTACATATACATCGACGCCTACATCTACATCTAGACCTACATCGACATCTACACCTACAGCTACATCTTTATCTACACCTGCATCTACATTTACATCTACATCAACAGCGAGACTCACATCTACATCTATATCTACACCTACATCTACACCTACATCTACATCTACACCTACATCTACACCTACATCTACATCTTCATCTACATCTACATCTACACCTACACCCACATCTACATCTACACTTTCGCATTGATTTTGCTTTTGCTTTGCATTGCCTTTGCTTTTGCTCTTGCCTTTGCTTTTGCCTTTGCCTTTGCTTTTGCTTTTGCTGTTGCTTTTGCTTTGCTTCTGTTTTTGCTTTTGCTTGTTTTTGCTTTTGCTATGTGTGCGCACAGACACACACACACACGCATGTGTTTGCATTCGCTCACCGGGTGTGCTTGCGAATGCTCCGGATCCGGCCTACACCGCACGACTTGGTGGATGCTGTGCTGCGCTATGCTACGCTATGCCATGCTATGCTCTGCGATTCTATGATATGCTATGCTATGCTATGCCGCGCAATGCTATGCTGGGCTAGGCCAGGCCAGGCTATGCTATGCTATGCTGTGCTGCGCTATGCTATGCTATGCTGGGCTATGCTATTATATGCTAAGCTAAGCTAAGCTAAGCTAAGGTGCAGCTACGCGAAGCTAAGATGAAGCTAAGCTAAGCTAAGCTAAGCTAAGCTAAGATGAGATACGCAAAGCTAAGGTAAGGGGGCGCAGCTGGGGGAACCGCGGGGCGGGGACCGGGGGAACCGCCCGGGGCGAGGAACACTGCCCGGCCCCTTTAAGAAAGAGTAAGAACCCTCTAGGCAGAGCCTAGGTAGGGAATAATAATATTAATAGTAATACTAATAATAAGAGTAGTAGTAATAACAATAACAAAACGAATGATACTAAACATACTTGTAAGATGAAGCATACGACGAATTGTTATCACACCAATACAACGGGTAACACATAATAGTAATACCACCATTACTAAGAATAGTATTATCACGAATGCGAATACTACTGATCATACTAAGACTATTAATAATACTAGTACTAATATTAGTACGAACACAAGGACAGTACTAATACGAAACACAAAATAATCAGACTACTAACACTGACACGATTGATACTAATAAGAAGCAACATGCTAATACTACGCATGATAATACTCACAATAATAACAAGAAGAGGAGGAGCAGGAGGAGGAGGAGGAGGAGGAGGAGGAGGAGGAGGAGGAGGAGGAGGAGGAGGAGAGGGAGAAGGAGATGGGGGAGAGGGAGGAGAAGGAGGAGGAGAGCGACTGAACCCATCCACCTCGTTCCCCCCCCCCCCCCCCCCCTTCCAGAGAGGAGGAGGCGCAGGGCGGGAGGGAAGAGGCGGGCGGTGCATCTGTAGAGATGCTCGATCCCTGCCCTCCCCCTGCCCTTGCCCCTGCCCCTGCCCTGCTCTGTGTTCGCGTGGCACTGCCCTGCCCTGGCCCTTGCCCCTGCACCCCCCCCTCTGGGCGCCCCGCAAGGCGGAGCGGAAGGCCTTCTCCTTCAACAACAGGCGCCTCAAGTGCCTGAAGGACAGCGGAGGAGGAGAAGGAGGAGGAGGAGGAGGAGGAGGAGGAGGAGGAGGAGGCGGCGGCAGCGGCAGGCTGCCACCTGGGCGCCCGCGCCCCCGGGCCTGGGCTCAGAGGCTTCGCGGCCTTCCCCTCGACGCTGCTCCAGGGTGCTTAGCGCGGCGCTCCTCGCGCCGACGCCGCCCTGCGCCCCTCGGCCGGTGGCGCGGCCTTGCGGCGCCTGCAATCGCGGCGCGATCGCGGCAAGCGAGCGCATTGCCGCCAGGATCGTATGCAGGGCGTACCGCCGATTTATAGGATCTATAGGGTCCGATACCGGCCGCGCAGGGTCCGCATCGGATCCTCTATAGGCCGTGCCGGCTGGGATCGGCATAGGATCCTATATAGGCCGTGTCGGGCTTGTATCCGATCCTGTAGAGGGCGTGTCGGCTCTGTATAGGATCCTAGAGAGGGCGTGTCGGCTCTGTATAGGGTCCTGTAAAGGCCGTATCGGGTTTGTATAGGACCCTACACTGGGCGGATCATTCGAGGGTCTGTACAGGCCGTATGGGATTTGTTGAGGATCCGATACCGACTGTATCGGATTCATCGAGGATCGTCTACAGGCCGTATCGTGTCTGTACAGGATCCGATACAGGCCGTATCGGATGTGTATAGGGTTCTATACGGGGCGTATTGGATCTGTCATGATTTCCGATGCAGGCCGTATCGAATCTGTGTAAGAAGTAATACACAGTGTTGGATGTGTATAGAATGTTTTAGAGACCATGTCGGATGTGTACAGGATCCTCTACAGGCCGTGTCGGATTTCTTCCCCAAGCAGAGCTTGCCTCTGTTGGGGTGCTAGCGGATTCATATGGTTGGGTTAGGTGCGCCGCCCGTTTCGGCGGCACGCCCGGGTGCCCTGGTGCCTGGGTGTACTATAATCTTATAGCCCTGTAGTCATATAGCCTTATAGGCCTATAGCAGCCGCATAGCCCAATAGCCCTATAGCCTTGTAGCCCTATAGCCCTATAGCCCTATAGCCCTTTAGCACTACAGCCCAATAGCCCCACAGCCCTACAGCCCTATAGCGTTATTGCCCTATAGCCTTATAGCCCTATAGCCCTATAGCCCTATAGCCCTATAGCCCCATAGCCCTATAGCCCTATAGCCCTATAGCCCTATAACCCGATAGCCCAATAGCCCTATAGCCCTATAGCCCTATAACCCCATAGCCTTGTAGCCCTATAGCCATATAGACCTATATCCCAATCGTCCTATAGCCCTATAGCCCTATAGCCATATAGCCATATAGCCCTATGGCCTCACAGCCCATAGCCCTATAGCCATACCTCCCAACATCCGAATAGCCCTAAATATCTATATGCCTATAGCCCTATGGCCCTAGAGCCCAATCTACCTATAGCGCTATGGTCCTATAGCCCTATAGCCACATAGCCCTGAAGCCCTAACAAGATTATGATTGTGGCTTTTCTCCGGTTTTCATGTAGGATCTTCTACAGACCGTGTATCGGATCTGCAGAGTCTCCTGTACAGTCCGTCTCGGATGCCTATCAGTTCGTATAGAGGCCGTATTGGATTTGTAAAGGATCTTGTGCAGAGCATATCGGATCTGTAGAGGATCTTTTTTGCAAGGCGTATCGGATGTGTATAGGATCCGATACATGCCGTATCGGAGGTGTATAGGATCCTATTCAGGCCGTGTCGGCTCTGTATAGATCCCATACAGGCTGTGACGGATCTGTATCGGATTGGGCCAGTGCCGCCGGTCCTGAAGACGATGACGACGAGGACGAGGAAGGCGACTTGAAGGAAGAGGAGGCTGAAGAGCAGGAGGGGCAGGGGGAGGAGGTGGTGGACGCGGTGGGCGTTTTTTCGGCCTCTTGGTGTCTCTAGGGGCCTCTTGGGGGTCTCTCGGGGACCTTTTGGGGCCTCTCGGAGGCCTTTTGGGGCCTCCTGGGGACCTCTTCGGGCGGAAGGCTCAGATTTTCGAGTCGCGTTTCCTCTCATGAGCCTCTCTTTGGGCTCTCTTGGAGCCCTCGTGGGCCGTCGTGGGCGCTTGTTGGAGTGCTTTGGAGCACTCTTGTGGAGTCGTGGGGCTCTCTTGAGCCCCTCTTGGCGTCTTGGGGCGCTCTTGGGGGCCTGTTGCGCTGTTCTAGAGCGTCGGAAGGTAGCCAAAGCAAAAGCCCCCTAAAAACATTGAAGAACGGTTTATCGGCAAACCCTTTTTGTTTGTTTGTTTTTGTCTCGGCCTGTTCGGGGTCTTCTTGGAACGCGCTTGCAGTCTCTCGGGAGAGTCTTGGGCCGTCGTGGAGCCATCGTGGGCATCTTGAAACGCTCGTGGGCCGTCTTGGAAGCCCCTTAGGTACTCGCATGCGTCTGTGGGGTCGCGGCAGGGAGGCAGGCCGTCGTATTTGACCCGGGTGCAGCCCCCGGGACCCACCTTTCAGGAGGGGAAAAAACACACAGACACAATTAGTTGTCGATTCCCAGGAAGATATGGGAAAATATGGGAATTGGGGGGGAAGACAAAAACCCAGAACATATGGGAAAGTATGGGGACTCTGGTTATCAGTGTCTATTTATTTGTGTGTCCCAGGGCCCCTTCCCCCCCCCCGTGACCTCCCCCCCATCCCGGCGGGGGAGGGAATAAGGGAAGGGGGTTCCCTTCGATGCCCAGACGACGTTTCCGCATTTTGCTGAGGGGCGGTCGTGTCGGAGAACGAACGGATGACGGAGAGGACGACCCGAACGACGACTTTTCCGAATCTTGCTGAGCGGCGATCGTGTCCGAAAACGAGCGAATGACGGAGAGGACGAGTCGAACTGAAGAACCCCTCTCACACGCCGACAGGGTCGGCGGATTTTTCGCAGGCCGTATCGGGTTTGTGCAGGATCCTGTACATCCAGAGCCGTTCAAGATCCAGCCGTACTAGGATTCTATGAGAGCTGGATCCAGTCCTAATTGGTTTCTATTTGAGCTGGATCCAGCCTTCATATAAAGCCTTCTGGAGCCATAGAACAGACGCAAAGCTAGCATGCCTTCCTTTTTTTCAATTCTGGAGGGTTTCGTTGCGTTGCATTGCGGCGGGGGGAACGGGGCCCCAGTTCAGGTGTTCACCCTATTAGACAAAACGTAGACAGGGGCCCCACAGCACCAAAGGTGGATGGGGCCCCAGTCCGGGTGTCATCCTTGTTGTTGTTGCCGTTATTGTTGTTGCTGCTGCTGCTCCTGCTGTGGTCGTCGTCGTCGTCGTCGTCGTCGTCGTCGTCGTCGTCGTCGTCGTCGTCGTTGTCGTTGTTGTTGTTGTTGTTGTTGTTGTTGTTGTTGTTGTTGTTGTTGTTGTTGAACATTATTAATTCTAAAGAATAATTATTGTTGGGACCCCTGGTGCACGGCCCCCCTGCGCCGCCTAGGCCGCAGCTACATTTTCATCATTTTCGTGAGGAAGCCTCAGGTAATACGATGTCATCAAGATCCGGTTGTTTTGTTGTAATCCGTTTTCCCTTGCAAAAAACACTATAAAATGACATTTCTTGTTCTAATATAATCAAATTTCAAGAATCCCTTGCAAAAAATAAGGTAAAGTGGACATTCGCGCGCGCAAGACGAAATCCTTCCAAAAGCTTAGTGTTCGGAGCGATTTTAACATAAAAGCATCAAAAAAACCAATGGTTTTTCAACAAAAAAATGTCAAAATCTCATCCCGCGCGCTCTTGCGGATTCGTAGGAAACCCAACACTTTTTAAACATTTCTGTCAAACGGGCTTTTGCGAGCAACTTTTTCGAACTTCTGCAACAACGGTTGCGCACCTGCCAGGGCCATCATCCCTGTCAAATAATACCATGCGGGACACATTCGTTTTTTCTTCGCGCGCGCACGCCGTCGTCGTCGGCCGCGGGGCCCTGAATAGTAGCCACGGTCGTCCGCATGCCACGAAGTGAAGTGTCCGAACGTCATAGGGCGGGAAGCTGGGTGTGGGTGGTGGCGAAGAGTCGTATGGAAATTTGGTAGAGCTTGAACCGGCCCCCCCACAAAGTGGGGGTATTGCCCGCCTCCTATGAAAACCCTGGCACTGGTGAGAACGGAGTGTCCCCAGTCTTAAATGATTGTTGTTGTTGTTGTTGTTGTTGTTGTTGTTGTTGCTGTCGTCTTTGTTGTTGTTGTTGTTGTTGTTGTTGTTGTTGTTGTGGTGGTGGTTGTTGAAAACTGATTACTAAACAATGATTATTGTTGGACCCCCCCCAGGCGCTCTGGCGCTCCCGCCTCGGTGCCGGCTATATTTTCATAGAAAATGAGGCTCACGCTCGACTGGTTTGAGGGGGCGCCAAAATCGACCCCCCAACAACAACAACGCTCCCGCTCGAGCCTTTTTTTTGTTTGCCCAGAGCCGGTGCTCTTGTTCGCTGCCGAAAACCGCCGCCCAAACAAAACCAACGCTCCCGCTCGAGACATCTTCCCGTTTTATCTTTGACTGGCTCGCTACTCTTTCTCTCATCGGCGCCGCCCCCAGCAAGAACAACTCGGCTTCCTCCTTTTTTGCTCAGTGTCGGTGCTTTGACTCACCTCCGAAAGCCGCCGCCCCAACAACACCAGCGCTCCAGCCCGAGACTTCCTCCCGTTTTACGCTGGACTGTCGCCCAACTCTCTTTTGAATTGGCGCCGCCCCCAGCAAGAACAACGCTTCCGCTCGAGGCTTCCTCTCTTTTCCCTGAAGACGGTGCTGTTCCTCGCCGCCGACAGCCCCCGTCCTGACAAAACCGCGGCTCCCGCTCGAGACTTCTCCCCTTTCTTACTCAAGGCGGTGTTCCTCCTCGCCGCCGACAACCGTCGTCCCAACAGAACCAGCTCTCCCGCTCGAGACTTCGTGATGTTTCACGCTGGACGCTCGCCCTACTCTCTTCTGCATTGGAGCCGCTCTCAGCAACAACAGCACCCCTGCTCGAGATGCTTCCCTCTCTATTCGGGGCCAGGTCCTTGCCTCGCCGCTGACAGCCCCCATCCCCACCAAGCCAATCCTGCCGCTCGATACTTCCTTGTGCTTTGCCCTTGGCTGGGGCTCCACTGGCGGTCTCGCATCGGCGCAGCAGGACGCGGGCATGTGTTTTCGAGGCGGGATATGTTGAACTTCCTCGGAGGATTCTGATGATGA